AAAAAAAAAAAAAAAAAAAATACTTTTAGTGATATTTTTGCTAAGAAAATATCAGAAACTTATATTTTAACTTAAAAATATATATATAAAATTAAATAAACCGAAGTAAAATAAGTATATTTTTTGTGTTTCACATGTTATTTTTCAAAAATATTAGATTTAAAAAAATAAAATCATCTCGAAGTATAACCGGATCCTAATTTTTCGGGTTCAGTTTTACTTGAAGACGATTTAATCTAATGAACCGTTCTGAAATTGAAATTTACGACGACTTAAAAAAGAAATTAGAATTAGATTTTTTCATCTTTTTCTTTCTTTTTTTCTCCCTGCTAAACGAAAACTCAGCGATGATCCAGCGCGCATTATATACGGTTTATACTACAATAAGAATTTTTCTATGGTATAATAGAGGTTTTTATGAATGAAAATAGTCATTCCGGGAAAGATATAAAGCAGTGATTGATTTTTTGAGGGGATTTTAAATCTGTCAAAGATTATTTAGCTATAGGTGTAACCACATATCTTAACATGAAGATATTTACAGCTGAAATCTCGCAATATTGAAGTATACGACGCGAAAGAATAGGGGTGATACAGCTCGAAAAATTCTTTTCAAGCGGTTATTGTAGAACGAACATATTTTAGGCTATAAACAACTTATATTGGCATTCATATCCCTTCGGCATGACGCTTACATCGTTTCTGAGGATTTTACAGTGTTGCTTCTTAACTGACAAGCAGTCTTGGTCTCAAATGAAAAATGGCTCTGCCTAACAGATTACCCACGCTAAAGGTATTGTCTGACGAGTATTACATTTTTCTCTCAGACAAAATAGAAATTATTATGATTTGATTCTTTAGAACTTTTCGACGTTTTTACGGTCATTTCCACCCATCTGATGCCTTAGCTGAAAGATGTTGTAAATCTATGAGACGTGTAACAGGAATTAGGAAAGATACGGTCGGACAACAAAGGATAATTTAGAAAAGTTGAATGGTTGCTTGTCTTTACCAAAGGAGCTTAACGATAGATATCCTAGAAGCATTATGTGGAATTAATTCTGAATTGGTTAAGTTTAAATGGATGGTATGTAGTTTTATTTCCTTAGCGGACATGACTCGTTTTAATTATGGCCAAACAGGAAAATATTCGCATCTTTTTTTTTATCTTCGATTATTAATTCCCTTGTCATATTATTTAATTATTAATTACTGTTAAAGATTCGATAATTAAATAATGGAATTTTTGCAAAATTTAATTTAATATTATATCAATTTAATTTGGAACTGATTTCGATATTTTATACTGATAAGAATTAAACTCGTAGCTAATATTGTATAGCTTATTAATAACCATTACAACCTTAATTATGTACTGTACGTCTTCAATATCTTAAATCTTCATATAAAATTTCCGGACAGAAAATTAACGTCTCTGAATATATTAGAACTATTAAAATCATTAATATTATCTACTAAATAACTGATAAATATATAATTATATATATATATTAATTAATAAAACAGCAATATATTTTCCAAATAGCTGCATTTATTTTATATTCCTAATTAATTTATCTTTAAAAATTAAACATATTTCTTCACACTCATCAATGGACATTGCTCTATTCTACAATATACACTTAAATAATATAAATTTTTTAACTTTATTGTAATTCATTAATTATTCATTTAAACAAAAATAAAATAAAAAGTTTTTAAAAACAAATATAATTATAGCATAAAATAACATATATATATTTTTAAAAATTTACTAGATATTGCAAAAATAATTTTATTTTCTCCAACCTTACCCTAGGCAATTAATGTTTAATACAGAAAAACATAATTTTAGAAATATTTAACCAACAAAAACTGCTATTCAGGCGAAAGAAAAAAATAAATAATAATAATTTTAAGTTTATTTGTTCTTATATTCATGAAATTTTTATATTTGAATATATTTTATCAATAAATCAAAGAGAAAATGTCAAAGAAAAATGTGTATAATTAGTAGAAATAGTTCAAGCATTATCTTAAAAGATCTTTTAATCTTTTTCCGCTATTCGGTTGTGATTATTAATTATTTAATAAATTGTTTTAACCAGAAAACAATCTTATCATGCGTTAACATAAAAGTTACAAACAGGTATAGGCCTACATCAGGGGAATGCGTTAGAAGCAATATTCAAAAATGAGTAAGGTAAACAAATTATTTGCTGGAATGGATACGTTACCTGGGCGTAAGCACCATAAGCACCGAACTGGTTGAACATAAAGGGATTGAGAAGCCCCATGTTACCCGCCATCTGTTGCATCCGCCTCAATTGTCTTTCTTTTTCGGTGTCCGCAAATTTCACAACTAAACTGGAGGACGCACCCTAAAGATACACAAACACGAAAAGAATTAATATTAAATATTATTCAATCTCTTATTTGAACAAATAAATTTAAAAAAATAATTTTAATTAATACGTAATTAACTATTTACTGGAAATAAAAGATAATTACGTATAACATTATAATGCTATTTACTTATAACATTAACTAAAGTAATTGAATTTAAATTTTAATTAGGATTTTATCAATATTTTCGTATACTGTTCTTTTAAAATTTATGAAATGATAGGACTCGTTTATTTGTCATTGAAAGGTAGAAGAATCGATTTTAAAATTGAACTTTTTGGGTATGGTCTGTCCTGGCTATCACTATCCCCATTGTGGGCCTGACAAAATCCACTATCAGCTTGGAAAAAGTGGCCCTCTCAGTGACCATAGAATGGAAAGAATTGAAAATAATAAATAAATAAGCATTAAAATCGAACAATTATTTTTATAAAAATCATTAATATAAATAATTTGTCTGATAAATTTTTATTATCAGCTTTAAAATGTATTTAAGCTTCTAAATACGATATTTTTGCAAGTAAAATTTATATTAATAACATCTAAACTATAAAAATAATGTTAGAAAGACGATAAAATTAATTAAAACATATTTCTTTAAATATAATATACTCTAAACAGGGTTAAGCAAACATTAAAATTGAACTTTTTGGGTATGGTCTGTCCTGGCTATCACTATCCCCATTGTGGGCCTGACAAAATCCACTATCAGCTTGGAAAAAGTGGCCCTCTCAGTGACCATAGAATGGAAAGAATTGAAAATAATAAATAAATAAGCATTAAAATCGAACAATTATTTTTATAAAAATCATTAATATAAATAATTTGTCTGATAAATTTTTATTATCAGCTTTAAAATGTATTTAAGCTTCTAAATACGATATTTTTGCAAGTAAAATTTATATTAATAACATCTAAACTATAAAAATAATGTTAGAAAGACGATAAAATTAATTAAAACATTTTATCACAAATATAATTTTTTTTAAGGAAAAATCATTAAATTTATAAAGATTTTATTATTATAATTATACACTTTTAAAAGTCAGATGAACTTTTTAAAAATGATTTTTATCATCATCTAAAAGAGAGAATGGAAAAATTAAACACTTCATAAAATATATCAAACGATTTAAAAACATTTTTAATAGTAATTACTTTAAATTATTACTTTTATGTTTGCTCCCCAGTGATAAATTTAAACGAGAGAAATTATATATATAAAGGGGAAATTATGATTAAAGAACTATAATTTTATACATCGTTAAACATTAATTATAATCTTTTCAAATCAGAGCATTTTTTTTTAATTATTATGTTGTTTAAAAATTACTTTTTAACATCTGTTACGAGTCAATCCACAATATATTTTTTTAATTATTATTTAATTTACTTTTTCGAAAATTAATTTTGATATGAACAAACTTTAAACTGAAAAAAAACATGAAATTCTTTGTAAATTTTTTTGCATCACGTTTAATTTATCACATTTAGATTACAAGGAATATATTTAACATTTTGCAATTAGTATAATGAAATGGCGAGTCGATTGGAATTTCATTAATTTGATGCCTTTCCTTAGAAAGTTTAGAAGCTTAAATGTACATATACATTTGCCTATATTTAGTAAGAGTGGAGTTTAACCAAATCTTATGTTGATAAATTGTTCTTCAATTGATAACAACAATACCCACCATTACACATGGACAAAAGGACTGTTCACTTCTTCATCTAAATGGCCTAAGGACTCTGTTTGGCAACGACAATGCGGAAGCTCATTTGCATGATTAATAACAGTGACTTATTCAAATGGAAGTTAAACAGTTACAAGGATTAAAAGTATAGCAACACGTACATCTCTGTTGGCTGTTTATAAACAACAATTTACAAGAGAAATTTTAGGGAAAACTAAACATTTACAACGGCTACCAACGGATTATAAAGAAAATTTTATTAACAAACATTAAACAGTTTGAATAAAAGTGGGTAAACCTAACAGGTGCAAAGTTAATTTTAACGATTATTTATTGTTAAATGAGGTTATTCATTTAGAACGAAAGAAAATTCTTTTAAAAGTTTTCTTAATTAACTCGGAAGCATTGTGTAATTCATAAAACTGATCTTTAACACGAAACTTATGAGATCGGGTATTGCTTTTAGTAGTATATTACATTCGGGAGAATTCTAGATGGAAAATTTACATTCAAACTTTTCCTGTTAGTAATTCCTTATGATGCATCAAACTCATCAACTCGCAGCTTAATAATCTTGTTGACTATAACGGAAGCTCTAAGCTTCTCGACGCGACAGAAATGTTGTGCGTGACGTCACGTCATAAGCAATAGGGATGGTGACAAGATGCGCTGGATCAACTTAGAACTGTTTACCATCTGTCTCGGATAATATCAACAGCAGTCGTCGTCGCAACAACCAAACGCCGTCTGCTTCGAGTTTGTAAACTTTTCAAGTGAATATCTTTATAAATAGTCTGATCCATTTACACAATGTGCAATCCCCAATCTTTTATTTATTCACTAATTAAACTCCTACCAAGTTTGCAGTCGCACTTATAAAATTCGTACTTTATTCGAGATTTATCAAGTAGAAGAATGTATTTTTAAAATCTCTTCAAATTCGTAAAGTTTTATTAAATTTTTTTCTTTTTTTCAAAAGAAGAGAGAGAAAAAAATTGTTTAAAAACTTCTTAAGTTTTCCAGGTTCTAAAATTATCATAAATGACAACATTACGAACTTAAAAACAGTATATCTTATGCGGATAATTAGATTTACCCGTCATAAAGAGTACTAGAAGATCATTTATTATCTCTCTTCTTTTTAATTTTCATACTTGCACAAGAGATCCGTATTTCAAAGAAAGTTGGTTAGATCCTTAAAGAAATCATTTCTATGCACTCCCCACGCATTAAATCTCTAAGAAGTTGGAATCTTGTAGGCAAACTCGACTGACATAATTGAAAATAATTATAACGAGTGAAGTACCTTGAGAATTTATGGGTCGAATGTGTAAATTTATGAATAACAATACAATAATGCACGATATCAATTATAATATATACAGGCTGGAGAATTTTTAACACGTTGTACATCGAATCATCAAATTTCAAAGGAGCAAGACTCCATTAAACTAAGTCTTAACGTTAAAGGGTACAACTAAGCCTGATTTACGTTATCTGGCGCAACGCTCGTAAATATAGGCACTTCCATTAGAATGAACACTCTTTTTGTCCTTAGTAGAGAAATGGAAGTGAGATTTACGTTTCCCATGTTAAAGTCTCACCCAACCCTCGGGTAAAGTAAAGTGCTTTGATTCGACAGGTGATTTTTTCCTTTTTTTTCCCCTTTTTACCACCGTAGAAAACGAAAACAATGAGCAACTGTTGCCTTCTCATTGAACCAAAGCCTCAAAAAATTACACATTTTCAACCTTAAATTGTTAGTTAATTTTATTTAATTAAAGAGTGAGTTTAATATGATACCCAGTTCTCTTCATTTATTAATTTAAAATACTTTCTTCGTCATACAAATTCCAGAATGTATATTTATAGATAGTAGCAGATACAACAGAAAAATATATTATCTTGATATAGAAATGGTAATAAAATATCTTCTTATATGATAAAGATCAGAAAAACTATTCAGGAGTGTAGATCTAGAATGAAATATTCTATAGAAGACTAAAGAAAAGTCCAGAATAAAATTTACTATAGAAAATTATAAAAATTTTCTATGAATTCTTCTATATAAAATTATAAAGTCTACCATAAAGTATAGTCCTGAAGATAATAAATTCGGAATAAAATAAGATATATGCACTGGGATAACGTCTAGAAGAAAATATTCCGTAAAATCGTATTAATTTAAAATAAAATAAGTTACTTTATATTATATAAATTATTATAATCTTCTATAAAATACGAAGACGAGATGCAATAAATCAACTAAAGTAGAACTGTTTGCACTCCTAAGAATTATAATATAATCATTACAGATTGATAATAATGCGAATTAATATATTTTTGACTGTAGAAAGAAGATATCCAGAAGAAATTATTATTATTTTTTAAAGCAAAGTGATGAAAACGATTACAATCCCCAATTAAAAACAATATAAAAATCCACGCAAATTATGGACAGAGAAGACATTAAAGTATAATTACTTCTAAATTTTATCAATTAAAAAATTATATTGTCGAATTTTATGCGATTTTTAAGTTTTATTTCTTTCCAGACTATTAACATCAATTCACACTCTCCTATATAATCATAAAAATTAACAGTTTTACGTTAATTGGTTAAACATTACAAATTAGCTTAGTGCAAAGACAATTTTCACCTATTAAATGACATATAAAAATCCCACTTTTTTAACACTTAGAAATGTGTTTTATTATTTAAAAAAATCTATTTAATATGCAGAATTATTCATTTTTTATTGAGCAAAATAACAAGAAAAGTTTGGTATAAACTAAAGAGAAACTTGAAGCTGATTAATGTTTGAAAGTAGTAAGTTTAACAATTTTGTAGCTAATCAAAAATTGTATTCGCTAGACGAAACATCAAAAAATGTTGTTATTAATGCTCACTTTAACCGATAGTTAAAGTAAAAGTTGTTAACGGGTGGTTAACTTTGCAAAAATATCAGGTTATCAAATGTGCAGAGAAAAGCTGCCGTTAAGCAACTAAATGACTTAGCCTTTAACAAAAATTTTAATAGAATCTACTGTAATTTAGTTTATAAATAATTATTATAATTTTTCAACTCGCAGCTTAATAATCTTGTTGACTATAACGGAAGCTCTAAGCTTCTCGACGCGACAGAAATGTTGTGCGTGACGTCACGTCATAAGCAATAGGGATGGTGACAAGATGCGCTGGATCAACTTAGAACTGTTTACCATCTGTCTCGGATAATATCAACAGCAGTCGTCGTCGCAACAACCAAACGCCGTCTGCTTCGAGTTTGTAAACTTTTCAAGTGAATATCTTTATAAATTGTCTGATCCATTTACACAATGTGCAATCCCCAATCTTTTATTTATTCACTAATTAAACTCNTATAGTTTTAATTACGTTTAAATTATATATTTCAAAATATTTGTATTAACTTATAAAACTAATTATATTAAAATAAATTTTACGTATAAAAAAAAAGACATAAACGTTGTCGAATAATTTTTTCCCCTATTTACTTACAATCAAATGAAAGAATTATCAGTTAAATAGACAAATTGAAGAGAAGAACATTTATTTTATCTTTATTAATACCGAAATTATTAATAAGAAATGATAATTTCAATATTCAACATTAGTAAAAACAAAAAAAAAAAAAAAGTTTAATTAAATTTATTTAGAAAATTAGTCGTTGAAAGAATGAAATAAAAGAGGAAAAAAAGAAAAAAATATATATTCGAGATATCATTAATTACTGGAAATTTATCTCACGCAAGGCTAATATTCAGATTTACTTAATTTATCCACAATACGTACAAACTAACTATCCAAATTACTTTCTTTAGTTACAGCTATTCTTGTAATAACGATAAGCAATTACTCGAAAAAGTTGCTTCGGGACATCCAAGCAATAAAGTGTTTGGAGTAGCAAGCTATTTAATTGGTTAATGCAAGATACGGGCGAACACTTCTTTCAATTTTTCTCCACGTGTCTGATCAATTTTAATAATTATATCTTCAATTCTGCCTAATTATGGTATCTTACTTTACCTTGCCCGAAGAAGGATTTTCGATTATATTTAGGATAACATCGTTTACGAGATTAAAAACTCTACTAGATTTTCGATAAATCTTTCATCCCCCTTTTACCAAACCCAATTATAGATTAACATAATGCTAGCATAATAACATAATAAAATATACAATTTTCTGTTTTACCGAATTCATAAAACTTAATATAACCGATAAAAGTTATATTTCTGTATGATTATTTTCCCTAGAAATCAATATATTTTATCGAGTTTTGATAATGCAATAAAGCTCTAACAAGCGACAAGGTGGATTCAGAAGAATTCAATAAAGGAACTTTCCTGGGCATGACACATCGAATATATAAAAGTAGACTCAACATAAAAATTTATATAAATGTGTATATGCATTTATATGTTATATAGGCTATGGAAATTTTTCTATTCACGTAAACAAAGTCTCTGAATATATATATATATCTCATACTATAATATAATATTTTCAAATTCAAAATTCGAATGCATTTCAGCCATTATCCTAACAAATTATATTATAGAGACTTAGAAACTAAATTTTATAATTTAAAATATATTTAAGAGAAATATGCTTAAACATTTTAAGAATTGTTTAAGTTTTAACATACAACTTTACCAGGTTAAACATTGTACAGGAGAGGAGGTTATCGATTTTAAATATTCCTTAATTCGCACATTATCTTGTTGCTTAATCTAATCTTTATAACGTTATTTGAAACTGTAATTGTATCGGCGAATTCATTAAATTAGCAAAATTATCTTCCTAAATAAGGAATTTCACTCCTAAACTTTTTCTTCTTGTAGATTTGCGTGTTAAATATATTATACCTCCGCCTATTTATAAGTGCTGAAATCTAAAAAAAAGTAAGAGAAAATCTTCTTTACTAGATGGATATTCCATTCAAACCCGATTATCAAAGAAAAACAAGCAAAGATATAATATAAAGAAACATCAAGTAAGATTAATGAATGGCAGATTTCCATATAGAGATTTTTTTATGTTTGTTTCTTTAGAATCTTTTGATTTTAAAAATCGAAAACTCGATTAAATTATTTTAGCGCTAATTAAGGAGAACATTTTTGGAAAGAAGAGACTTTCATTTAAAAATACTTTGAAGTTGATATGGTGTAATTAAGAAAAAATCGAATGTTTCAGTGTACATAACGTCAACATTCCAGATTCATAAATATGCATTAGCTGCAAAGACGTTCTTGCCAAAAGGGAAAAAAGTATTACCAAAAGTTATTATTTTGTGATTCACCGAACGATCTCTTTTGTTGATAAGCTTTGAGGGATAATGTTATAAGAAACCAAACTTTCTCCTATCGGCAATTAGTTTAAATTCTATTGATATCCCAAAAGAACAGTCTTCATTCAAATTCCTCTTATCTTCGTCAATTTAACTATATCTATTCGGAATTGATCGACCTTTCTTTATAAAGTCTGGTTCCCAAGAGATGAAACTCATTCTTTTCTTGAAAATTCCTCCTTGATATTCGCAGCTCTTATTTTTTTTTCTTTCTTTCTAAAACTTAATAAGCTTCTTTTTAGGTTTTTCGCACTTTTATCTGAAAATTTTAATTAATTATTTCATCTCTGGGGCTAAGAACAAACAAATTTCTTACTCCTTTGGGGAAATTCAATCGTTTACATATTTGGCCAGCTTTGCTAGTATCTTTGCCAGATTTTTACTTTTTCATTAACGGTTTTTGCTAAAATCATTTATTTTATGAGACTTGGCAATTGTGAATTTTTCTAGCAACATTCCAACTTTTCTAACTTGATTGAATTAAGGTGTAATTTTTTTCCTGCTTATTTTTATTATTATTTTTATCTCTTTCTTCCTTTTCTCATTTAAAATGCGTAAATAAATACTTAAAAAGAAAGAACAGAAAAAAAATTATTACAATTTTATTCACTTAATTCTTTAAAATAACTTTAAATTACATTAATTAAAATAATTTAAAGATATTTCGGCTAAATATTAATTAATTTTACCGTTTAGATTATTAATTTTTATACCTTAATCTACGAAAAAAAAGTAAACATGATTAATATTTAATAATTTCTCATATTTTTGTACTTATTTATATAGAAGAATAAATAAAATATCCATGAATTATGGAACTAATCTCGGTAATATATATTTTTCTTACCGAAATTATCTTCCAATTCATAAAGTAATTTTATGGTTACGAGGCAAAAATAGTAGCTAATATCACAAATCATATATATTGCCAAATTAGTCACTTTAATAGCAATTTAGTTAGTGACTAATATCAGTCAGACGTCCTGTGGAACTTTGCACTCTCTATATCAGTAAAGAAAAATTACAGTACACAAAAGTTGAGGCAAAAAAAAAAAAAGAACTTTTTACGTCATAGTGCAACAGTCAATAGCAGACAGTTCGTCTCTTCAGGAAAGAGAACGGGAGACAGAGACTGGGGGAGATGGAAAGGAGTTCAATCTTGCAGAAAGGCTTGGACTTTTTTTTTCTAGATTTTTTTTTTTTTTTTTGGTATCGACGAAATAGATAGATGGCTACTTACCGGCATCGTCTGGCTTCCATGGAGGGCGCTGATGGCTGCCTGAGCTTCGGCGTGGCTGCTAAACTTGACGAATGCACAGCCTAAAAGATAGAGAGATACGGATTGGTTAATGTTGTTTATTTCGTTTTTACCATAGAATTTTTACTTACTTCCGTTTTTGTGTGTGTGTGTGTGTGTGTGTGTGTGTTTTTCCTTACTTTGACTGCACATAAATTTTAAGAATTTTATTGCGATGTTTTTAAAAGCTGTATTTGGGAAAAGAATGTTTACTTTATATATAAAATTTAATAGTTTTGTAACGTGTTTTTAATAAGTATTTAAAATGTTGAAGATAAGTGGCGTGTTACAGCTTCGAGGAACCAAGTAAAATTTGAATTAGGGGTTTGAGAACATATATTTTTCTTTGAGAGAATTTTCTTATAAAGGATTGGTTTGGGGCACTTGCCCTTTTTGCCCGTAGGATAATGCTTCGCCGTTTGAGATTAAACATTTTTTACTAAATTTTCTTTTAAAATGTATTATTTTTAACTCAAAAGCTAAATAATTTAACAATTAAATAGGGGTTGTAGATAAGAATTCTGGTGGATTTTTATCGATAAATAATCCAGGAATCTTGTAACGGTCGTTTATCAAGAAGAGTTGATGTAGAACATCATCAGAACAACAACAATGAATAACTGTCGAGTCTCTAAATGAAACTTCATTCCTATAGAGCAACATTAATAAAAGCTGTTTATTTACACGTTATATTAATTGATTTACCTTTATTTCACGTAATATAATTTGGTGTAGCGATTAATATCCACTTTAATATTAAAATATAAGGGAAACATCGTACATAATTATAATAACGGTGATTTTTATGAATCGAATATTTTTACTAGATTGGAAAAATATTGATATGGTCGAATAAGTACATCTTTTGTAAGGATGATAAGCAATTGATTTTGACTCGGTTATTGTTAAAGAGGCGACAAAGATAATAAATAATCTTGTACTTAATTATGAAGAATTCGTGTCAAATAGAGCCTGCAAATGACAGCTAGTTTAGAAATTTTCACTTTTATTGAGAATGTTAGCAAGTTAAATTTGTCATCTTGGTGTTTAGCTTTCGGGCTTTTTAAACAGTAATTTTTGTTGTTAATTTAAGTGCGTACCAAGTTAATTATGTGACTTTTTATAGAAAAATAACATAAACCGTAAATTGAGTTTCCAAAAATTGATTTTTTAGCATTAATTTGATAATTACTTTTATACTAAATATCTATTACGATTATTTGGAAAAATTCCTTTTTTCTCCCATCCTTCCTTTAATATTCAGACAGCTATTATAAATTAATTAGGCAGAGGATAACATCATTCATTACCCAAGAATAATCTTTCGTGTGCACTTAAACATAAATTCATTTTATTAAAATATTCAATTATTCTAAAACGTAATCTTGGNATCATAAAAATTAACAGTTTTACGTTAATTGGTTAAACATTACAAATTAGCTTAGTGCAAAGACAATTTTCACCTATTAAATGACATATAAAAATCCCACTTTTTTAACACTTAGAAATGTGTTTTATTATTTAAAAAAAATAAGAATAAATATATAAATAGTTTAATGTTTATTAATATTTTTTAAAAATTGAAAATATAAAATGACATTTTTCTACTTATAAATCCTCTAGATATTGCTTTTTTCATTCTGTTTATGTCTTAGTAGCTGACACTAAATAAGTTATATATTTAGAAAGTGCCAAAACGAAAGGAAAAGAAAGAAAATACAAATGGGGGAGGTGACAGGCGACAATAAGATAATACTAAAGTTGTAGGGAAGATATGAGGGAGTGTAGAAACAATCTGTGAGCGTCCCCAAGCTCCCATCCAACGTAATGGACAGGGTAAGAGTTTGGTGGGCTTTCATATAACCTGCTGAATTAGCGAATACCGTTTCCGAAATCCAATTCCCATCGCGACCATCAAATCAGCAATAATAGCAGCAACATTGGACCGAGATCAGGAGTGGGGTGGAGGAGTAGAGGATGTTTGCCACAGCAAAATTTCTATCATTGTTACTCTAGCAAGAGTATCGACGGTATTAAGTTAAATTCGAGATATTGAGTGATAAGTTTAACTCCACAGTTTATAAGATCGAATTATCAAAATATGAAACTATTGAATGATATTTGTGAAGTGGACCGTTTTATATCATTATTGGGTATTTGATGGTTGAAAGATTTCAAGGAAGAAAAGGCGATTAGTACCAAGTGGATTATCAGCCGAATTGAAGATTAGCATTGATATGTTTTGAAAAGCTTATTATATATGTTTTCCCTTAAGTAAAAATTATTTCTTTTAACTTTTTTTTTGCTTATTTTTAGTAAACTACTTCAAAAACGAATCGCTGGAAGCGAATAATGATAACGCATGAAAGCATTATCGTTACTCGCTTCCTAGAAATGACTGTAGCATTTCTTTTAATCTTAAAAAATATTTTAAGTCTACCTTTAATCTTTCAAGCAAGATAATTTTAATAATTTATATATTAATGTATTGAATTAGTATTATATGTGTACGTATTATTATTCTACGTGTAGATTTTACAGCAACTTTTTACATGTAACTTTTTATAATATGTTTAAATACTGTAAATATTTTTATATGTATTAACTTGTGTTTTAAATAAAAACATAATTCGAACTTAAAATTACAGTTTACATATAAATTATCGTAATCTAAACGTTTTTATTCGTTAGAATTAAGTAAAACATGTGGCATGATTCTTATGCACAATACTTCCCACATGTACTGTATAAACGCTTTATAAAGCTTCTGTATTTTTCAATGGATAATTTATAATCTAGTGAGCTTGTAAATAACTAAACTTAATATATTTTAACAGCACGCACTAATATTATACATTATACGCTCTTTAAGTATATATAAAATAAACACAATAACTAAATCAAAAACTATTATTACGTATTTGAGCTCAGAATATTAAACAGCAATACAGATTATAAATATAAATAATTAAATATTAACTGTAGATCATAATATTTAATATATATAAATATATATCGTACATTATTTATTTTAAATTAAATTATAGTTATTTAAAATTAATGAAACTATCTGCATAATATGATAATATCAGAAATTTAAATATTAGTAAACATACAATTTGATACTCGAATTTGTTAACTAATTATTTATCTAATTAGATTTAAACGTGTATACAAGAAGCAATTATTTTGCTTATAGACTATCTGAAATTAGGAATATAACGTTAAATAAATCTACAGCTCTTGTCTATTCAATAAATGAAACTATGAATATATATATGTCTATATAATAATTAAGATTGAATATTTCGAGGCCAATTTCACTGACTATTATTAGAAAATTAATCTCAGAGATGGATATATCTAATTTCCTTTCATCAAAATTCCAGTAATATTAATAAAAATACGAGTATATTCTTACTATTTTTATAAGATTTATCTCATTATCACGCATTATTTTGGATTAAGTATCACGTTTTTAATTAATTAAAACTAATTAGAAACTCACTTCATTAATTTTCTTTAAAAATATAACAATCCCGAAGATTTAATATTCAGAAATGAATAAATTTCCCTAAAATCTTATTCATAATCAACTTATTAATACTCGAAAAGTTATTAAATTCTCTCGAAAGATTTAAACGACTTAGCAATTCTGATAAATATATATTAATTGCGATTTTATTAAATACGCTTAACTGTAAAAACAGTAATAAACTTTAATTAAATCTTTATATTTTGTACTGTACATATATATATATTTTTTCTGAAGGAAATGTAAGAAAATTGAAGAAGAAAATGGTATTTTTAGAAATTGGTCTAGATGTTATTTTATCAGTAATATTATTTTTTCGATAATCGAAAGCCATTTGTTGATTTTTTGACAAACAAGATAATCACCATTCGGAGTGGTAGTGGCATCGTTGACTAGAATGCCAGAAGAGTTTAATGGAAACGATATTCGTTGTGTTTACTTTGGGGTGCAGAGTTAGGATAATACGGTACAAATGTATTAAAGCCAAAAATGCCACAAAGAGGAGGAAAAAGTTCGATTTTTCCAAACGATGAAAAGAGAAAAGCCAATAAGCCGATAAGAGACGTTGAAACGACGACGTTTCTTCAGTAATCGGATAAGACTGTAACTGTTCGTTTTTCGTATGGCAAAACGATGGTTGTTCCATTAGCCACCTTCCAACAACTACGCTGTCGACATTAAGAATGGTGAGATGTCAAAATTGCATGACTATCTTCTGGCCTTACCGGTATCTTATATTTACCAGTTCACGTTATGCATTAAGAAATCGTTCCATCGACCGTTTTCTTGTATTATGCGCTTTCCTATGGATTACAATCGTATATAAAACAGCGGATTCTCTTATTTCCCAAAATATCAGCTTATGGTATGTTTATTTCTCTTATATACAATGACAAAATGATCAAACAATTCCGGAAAATTGGAATTCTTGGCAATTTCAATGTTATAGAGAAGATTAATCTGATTGTATGGATGCTTCCGTGGATAAATATGGTACTTTATCATATCGAAATTGGACAATCTGAAAGTATTTGAATTTCGCTACCGCCTTGAAACTATTTTTATATTCTACTCGTTGAATATAAGAATTTTTTCTATTTTATTCTTCCAGGGAAATTGCAAAATCGGCATTTGTTTTAAAATTAAATTTTCATAAAGATGAGGGGGAAATATATATATATATATATTAATATATTTCATTTTGTAAAATATTAACCAAATGCTATCAGCTCTTAATCCATTTGATTCTCGAATTTTTCGATGAAAATCTAATGGAACGTTTTTTAAAAGCTAATGGAATATCTAAAAAGTTCTCTTGAATAGCGTTTTTATATTTGAATTTTGAATGAAAAGAAAAAAACGAGAAGCTTTAAAACTTTATTAATATTTTGTCGTGTAATTACGGCATGGAGTAAATGTAGCAGAATAAAAGTAGCATTTTTTTGATAAGGAAAAAATAATAATAATGTGACATATATTTTAGATATATTCGTCCCTAAGGGAACAATCTGTACAAATATTAAATTTTATTTTATTCACATTAAAAACTTAAAAATTAAATAACTTAAATAATTTTTCAACATTAACTTAGTAAAAAATGTTTTTTTTTTCATAAATTATTTTTGGGATCCGTACTTATTTAATATGTTAAAATAAGCTTTTTCGTATTAAAAATGTTTAAATGACTTTAATAAAATGTTTTAAAAAATTTAACATTTCAGAATTAAAAATTAAGTGAGTTGTTTTTTAACATTTTGTCTATTATTAGAAACGGGCCCCTGTAAAAGCTTCTTTACTGTTTAGCATAAGTACCTTTCTAAGAAAATCTCTTTAGAAGGGGTTTTCTTGTAACTAAAATAACCAAATAATATAAATTAAGCCAATAATATATCTTCTAACACAATTAATAATTAATTAACACGTTAATTTTCTTAATGAATAAAAAATATTTGTTATATAAGATTTATTTTTAGTAAAATTCTAATAAAATATTAATTTTGATATAAACTTGATCATTATAATTTATCATATTAAAATCTCGTTTATTTAATACAGTAAAATTATATTAAATTATAAATTTTTGATGAGGAAAATTCATTAAAAATTAAAAACTGAGAATTGAAAAATATTCAAAGTGACTTCTTTAATCTAACTCGATCAGATTATGTTAAATCCGATTTATCCAAAGAAGCGAATAATTAAATTTTACCGTGTAATCCATTTATGTTTGTTGTTTTCTATGGTATTTTTATCGTAAAGAAAACGAAAATAAATTCGGCATTTAATAAATGCACGATGGTCTTTATAAAAGTAAATTCTTTTATGTGGATGCGTCATATAAAACCACCAACCGTACCTTTTCCGTGATTGATATAAACCACAAACTATACCTTTACTCTGTCCTTCAGGCCCTCTGAGAATCGTACATTCTTCTATCGAGCCATAGGGTTGGAACAATTGACGTACGTCTTCTTCTGTTTGCTGTTTACTGAGCATTCCTACAAATAATTTCCTGTCCTCTGCAATAAATAAAGAAACACGTACAATTAGATACATTTTTGCTTCACCATAATGTTAACTCGATTAATTCAAGAGTAATTTAGATTTTTATTATATATCTCGGTTTAGAAATTTTATAAATAACGAAATTTAATAGGTTTAAATTGATTTAATGTTAGAATATCTCATGTTATTAAGCTATTAAGTGAATAATTTTGGAAACTGTAGGGAAATTATGTAAGTATAAACTGAAAGTTTTTTTTAACCAAGATGAAAAATGACAAAGCAAGCGATAATGGTGGTTGTTTTGTATCTCAGTCGGTATACCTCTAGACCATGCTGTAGACTCATCTCTGTTGTTTTCCACCAACGGGGGTGCAACAACAGACAGTTTAGTTCTAACTCCGAGCCCCCACTAGTGGCTTTGTTGACAACAACGATATTTAATTAGCCAGAAAGAAAAGAGGTCGCATAGACAGACAAGAAAAAACCTTACGAAGAGGAAATTCATTAAAATACCGTCTACAGCTGGGGATGACGAAACAACCCATTAAAGTTTCGTCTTACATTAACCTCGGAGCTGAAAGTTTTTTGTTGTTCTGTTGGAATATCTAGACTCAAAAAACAAAGTTGTCCGAAGCATCATTGCATTTTAATGCGCTTTTGAAGAACTATCTTGATTCAACTTGTGGGATGTCTTCCAGATAGCTAAAGAGGTTATTGTACCAGGAAATTATTTTTCTATCGAATAAATGACCGGTTCAGAACATTTTTAGATATTTATATACAAAATTTCCTTTTGTTAAACTTGTGTTTCCCATACATTTTTTATAACTTACTTTCTACAATAGACGAAATTAAAATATTTATTTCATATTTTAGTTTTTTTAACGCATTAAAATTATTAATTATTGCATAGAAATATAATTAAAAATATACTCAAAAGAATTCTTTTCTATATCAATAGAGCTAATTGCAATATATTTAATGGAAAATAATAGTGTAGAAAGTAATGGACGTTGACGTTTTGAAATTCTGATTATAAGAAATATTTTAAAGTTATGAAACGATTACGTTGTTTATAAATATATCTTTACGTATGGATATGACATTAAAATGAATGATAAGATAATTCATTGAATACGTTAATTTGTTTACTTTTAAGCACATCCTACAACTATAATCAATGTTTCAAATGAATAAATAACGAATATTCTATTAAGTAATCATACAAATCTTTAATAATTAGAGAAATATCAAATTATGGATAGTAATAATGTTAAGAAATTAATTTATTATTAAAATTTAACTTTGAATTTATTCAAATAAATGTAACAAAATTATATTTTGAATTTAAAATTAAGAANACTCGATCAGATTATGTTAAATCCGATTTATCCAAAGAAGCGAATAATTAAATTTTACCGTGTAATCCATTTATGTTTGTTGTTTTCTATGGTATTTTTATCGTAAAGAAAACGAAAATAAATTCGGCATTTAATAAATGCACGATGGTCTTTATAAAAGTAAATTCTTTTATGTGGATGCGTCATATAAAACCACCAACCGTACCTTTTCCGTGATTGATATAAACCACAAACTATACCTTTACTCTGTCCTTCAGGCCCTCTGAGAATCGTACATTCTTCTATCGAGCCATAGGGTTGGAACAATTGACGTACGTCTTCTTCTGTTTGCTGTTTACTGAGCATTCCTACAAATAATTTCCTGTCCTCTGCAATAAATAAAGAAACACGTACAATTAGATACATTTTTGCTTCACCATAATGTTAACTCGATTAATTCAAGAGTAATTTAGATTTTTATTATATATCTCGGTTTAGAAATTTTATAAATTAACGAAATTTAATAGGTTTAAATTGATTTAATGTTAGAATATCTCATGTTATTAAGCTATTAAGTGAATAATTTTGGAAACTGTAGGGAAATTATGTAAGTATAAACTGAAAGTTTTTTTTAACCAAGATGAAAAATGACAAAGCAAGCGATAATGGTGGTTGTTTTGTATCTCAGTCGGTATACCTCTAGACCATGCTGTAGACTCATCTCTGTTGTTTTCCACCAACGGGGGTGCAACAACAGACAGTTTAGTTCTAACTCCGAGCCCCCACTAGTGGCTTTGTTGACAACAACGATATTTAATTAGCCAGAAAGAAAAGAGGTCGCATAGACAGACAAGAAAAAACCTTACGAAGAGGAAATTCATTAAAATACCGTCTACAGCTGGGGATGACGAAACAACCCATTAAAGTTTCGTCTTACATTAACCTCGGAGCTGAAAGATTTTTGTTGTTCTGTTGGAATATCTAGACTCAAAAAACAAAGTTGTCCGAAGCATCATTGCATTTTAATGCGCTTTTGAAGAACTATCTTGATTCAACTTGTGGGATGTCTTCCAGATAGCTAAAGAGGTTATTGTACCAAGAAATTATTTTTCTATCGAATAAATGACCGGTTCAGAACATTTTTAGATATTTATATACAAAATTTCCTTTTGTTAAACTTGTGTTTCCCATACATTTTTTATAACTTACTTTCTACAATAGACGAAATTAAAATATTTATTTCATATTTTAGTTTTTTTAACGCATTAAAATTATTAATTATTGCATAGAAATATAATTAAAAATATACTCAAAAGAATTCTTTTCTATATCAATAGAGCTAATTGCAATATATTTAATGGAAAATAATAGTGTAGAAAGTAATGGACGTTGACGTTTTGAAATTCTGATTATAAGAAATATTTTAAAGTTATGAAACGATTACGTTGTTTATAAATATATCTTTACGTATGGATATGACATTAAAATGAATGATAAGATAATTCATTGAATACGTTAATTTGTTTACTTTTAAGCACATCCTACAACTATAATCAATGTTTCAAATGAATAAATAACGAATATTCTATTAAGTAATCATACAAATCTTTAATAATTAGAGAAATATCAAATTATGGATAGTAATAATGTTAAGAAATTAATTTATTATTAAAATTTAACTTTGAATTTATTCAAATAAATGTAACAAAATTATATTTTGAATTTAAAATTAAGAAGAGAATTTCGTATTCACGAGAAAATAGTAATAATACAGTAGAATCTTTTGATT